CGTTAAGAACTGTGAAAATTCAGAAAGAAATTCTGAATAGGGACCTGGGGCCCTGTACACTATTACAAAGAGAACCAGCTGGATTATTTTCCAGGTCTGTTGCGAAAGACTGAAAACCAGGCTTTCAAATGAGTTATAATCCACCTTAGGTTTAAAGTTTATTAAAAGGCAGGAGTATAAATAGCTGCCACCCCCCCTCGGCCTGTGCCTCGGGGAATATGAGTATTAACATGACTCGGAGGAGTCGCTTCATTTAAACAGAAATATTCCCCATTCAACAACCACGTTTCAGTAAGACAAAATACATCAACATGGTGATCTGATATTAGTTCATTTACCAAAACCGCTTTAGATGACAGGTCTGATATTCAAAAGACCCCCTTTAATTCTCCTATTTTGTTGCACTATTGCATTATTAGTTTTAACTTTAAGTTATTTACTACAACTCCTGTGTGTTGTTTACCTTTAACTTAGATAAGTGTGTCCGTGGGGCAGACAAGGTCTCTATAGGGTTCATTATGCTGAGTGACTGCTCAGATGGAAGCGCAGAGAAGTGTGTAAGACTGCGACTCTGCTCCCTGGTCTGAACTCTGGGTCATGGATTAAGTCCACTAAGAAACTGGGTCAGGTTCTTAGAAGGAAGTTCAGCTCCGTCCAAAGTGGGATGGATGCCGTCCCTCCTAATCAGACCAGGCTCTCCCCAAAACGTCTTCCAGTGATCAACGAAGCCCACATTATTTACTGGGCACCACCTCGACAACCAGCGGCGGAATGACGACATGCGGCTGTACATGACGTCACGGGTCCAGTTTGGGAGGGCCAGAGAAAACTACGGTGTCCGACATTGTTTTAGCGTATGTACACACCGATTCCACATTAACTTTAGTGACCTCCGAGCAACGTAATCGGGAGTCATTGCCGCCGACATACATTACAATCTTACTGTATTTACGTTTAGCCAGCAGTTTAAGATAAGACTCGATGTCGCCCGCTCTGGCCCCCGGTATACACGTAACTATGGTCCCTGGTTTCTCTTCACGTTCCTCAGAATGGAGCTACCGATCACCAGAGTTGGCTTCTCAGCGGGTGTGTCGCCGAGTGGGGAGAAGCGGTTTGAAACGTGAAGTGGTTGGTGGTTAACCGTGTGCTTCGACTTAGACTTATGCTCCGGACAGTCACCCAGCCTCCCGGCTGCTTGGGGGTTGCCGGGGGACGGCTAGCAGGAGCGAACGCTACGTCTATGTGGCCCGCACCGGCTACGGGGGTGGGCTGGGTAACTACAGCGGCTAACGACTGAGCTTCCATGGTGCGGAGCCGTGATTCTAGCTCACTAAGCCTCGCCTCCAATTTATCAAATATACTACACTTCTTACATGTACCATTATCCGTAAGGGAGGCAGAGGAATAGCTAAACATGTGACACACCGAGCAAGAAAGAGCAGGAGAGGTAGGGAGGGAAGACATCGCCAGGTTAGCTGCTAAGCTAATGCTAACGCTAATAGAAGTAACGTTGACGCTAAATAACGTCTAAGCAACTATTCGATGGAGCGAAAATTTGCTAGACGGTGAGGTGTTTAACAAAGCCTCACATAAATAAGAATTCACTGTTTGTGATGAAAATTATCACGCTACAGTCAACTCAGTATAGCTAGAGCTGTGAAAAGTTCGATGACATCAAACACGCTGGCAACAGGAAGTGACGCAACACGCTTACCGTCAGCTGATCGATACAGAGACAGACAACGCACAGCTGCTCTACTTCCCTGATTGCTTTCCTTATGTTACCTAATACGTATGACACATTCCTTCCTCTCATCCAAATGGCCCCATCATCCGCATATAGTGCTGTTTTTATGCGTCCATCCATTTTTGAAAAAATATCATTAATCATTATGTTAAACAGTATCGGACTAATTGCACTCCCTCGGGAATACCATTGTCTACATCAAATTCTGTAGATACCTCTGATCCAACTTTAACTTTAATTTTCCTACCTGTTAAAAAGTCCATAACCCAATTATATAACCTTCCTCCTATACCCATACTACTTATCTTAATAAGCAAACCTTCCCTCCACATGGTATCATATGCCTTTTCTCTGTCAAAATATACAATTGTCATTAGTTCTTTGATTTTAAATGCCTTTTCCACATCATTACTTACTCTAACTAGAGCATCTTTTGTGGAGCGCCCTTTTCTAAATCCACTTTGTATATTGGTCAGTAATTCTCTCTGTTCCAATATATGTGATAATCTACGAACTATGATCCTCTCCATCCATTTGCACAAGTGGGATGTCAATGCTATGGGCCTATAGTTATCGGGATTAGCTGGGTCCTTACCAGGCTTGTTGAATGGTAATATTACTGCACTTTTCCAACTGTGTGGTATTATTCCATCCCGCCAAATTTTATTGAACAGTCTTAATATTAACTTAAATGATTCGCCTGGTAACTGTCTGAACATGGCATAACATAATTGCTCTTGCCTGGGTGCTGTATATCCAGTGCCCAGCAGAGCTATGTTGAGTTCTGATGTCGTAAAATCCACATCTAGTATTGACATGCCATCCTCCTTTTTTAACTTCACTTCCTTATTCTCTCTTAATGCCCGTTCTTTCTGCTGTTTATGTATGTCACTAAGGTTTTCACAACTATGTACTGCCACAAAGGCCCTCCCTAGCACTTATGCCTTTCCTTTATCTGATTCTATTATCTTCTCTCTATCAAAGCTGGAATTTTACCAGACGTCCTTTTCCCATTCATTCTCTTGAACATAGACCATATATCCCCTAATTTTACTCCTCTGCCTATGGTGGAACAGAATTCTCTCCAGTTTCTCTTTTTGTTATACTTTATTGTCCTACGTAGTTGTTAGGCCTATCATATCTAATAGAACTAAACCCTGGTATAACAAAGTCCAAATGTGGTTGTAACCAAGTTTCTTGTACACATACTACATCTGGAACAACATCTAATTCATACATATATTTTTTTAATTCTTGACCATTAGCTATGAGACTTCTGGCGTTCCACTGTGGTATGTGCATTACCATAATTAGTGTTCTAACCCTCACTTTGTGTATTTTCCCCGTTTCCAAGTGCTGTTAACAATTCATGTATCTGGTCTGCTTTAACATCTATATCAAGAATTCTTTCTGCTGCCTCCACAATAGCCTTGATTCTATCACTTTTCTTTTTCAACTGTGGCGTAACATTGATAGTGTGACAAATGAAAACCACAAAGTTTATCTTCTTAACTACCAATGTTTCCTTATCAACTTCACATTTGTGCTCACATGTAACCTGAGTATGAACAGGAGTCTGCCTTTGTGTTTGGGTAACTGCTACCATATTTCTTTCTATCTCTTTGTACTTCACATCCTCCAAGCTCAGCACTATGCTCACCACCACAGTTACAGCATTTAATCTTCGTATCCTTTTCACATTTACCGTACTCATGCTGACCACCACATCTAGCGCACCTCATCTTTCCTTTGCATTGCTGTGCTGTATGTCCCATTCTTTGACATTTATAGCATCGAATGGGTTTGGGAATATACTCTCTCACACTGTAACTCATGTATCCTATTTGCACTGATTTAGGTAGAGTTTTCTCAAATTGCACTACAACCGATCCATCTCATTTGCTTTTAATCCGTGTGGCTTCAATCACTTTACCTCCCTGAATCTCATTTTTGACATCTTCCATTGACATACTCACTGGTACACCGGAGATCACTCCTCTCACTTTTGTCATTGCTCCTGGTATATGTGCTTTCATTCTTTCCCCTTGAAGTGAGGACATTTTCATTATCTTTTCTTGTTGTTGTTTGCTAGTTGCATGTATCAGTATTCTTTTATTGCTCATAAACCTAGCAAATATGATTTTACCAATCTCTTTCTCAATCGCCTTAGTAAGTTTCGGGTGGTAATGTCCACCATCCTGGTTAAACTCAATAATAACTTTCCATACGATTCCTTGCCCAATCTCCATGTTGTCAGTTTTCTGTTTCTCCGACTGATTAGATTTCAATTTCTTGCTCGTACTTCCCTCGCCAGTCTCGCTGTACTCTGACCAACTTTTCCCTCTATTTCTTGTTTTTAAAGCCCTTTTCAATCTGTTTTGGGTATCGTCCAATCCATTTCATCTCCATCTGAACTAGTTGACATGATATACAGTCACAGTACAGTTTATGCAGATCCGCCAGATAACTTGCTCAACCAGTGATCCTACCGCGTTTCCACTTCCGCTTTTCCCAGTCCTTCCCGGAACAGCTGAAAAAACCACAGAGCGCTACGACAACCTGCAAACTTCTGTCCTGAGGTGGGAGGTCTGAGATAGGATACAATTTGTCTTTGTGGTGGCGGGCGTGGTTTGGCTCAGCTGCAGAGGGGACGGAGAAGGGATAAACGGTGGGTTCGGGGAACGGTGCCGGGGAGGCATAATTGGCCTCAGGTGGGAGTAATCAGGGTGTGTGTGTGTGTGTGTGTGTGTGATCCTTAAGAAGGAGACAGCGGGGAGACTGAGGCAGGCAGGCAAGGAAGCTGGAGCCGGACGCTTGTGTGATTAAAACGGACAATAAAAGACTGTTGGCAGAAACCCATTGCTGTATCCTCGTTATTCCACGTTCCCCCCAAGGACTGCACTTCACAGTCTTGTCTTTGAAACTTAAGTCAAGAGCTTTTCTGTAATGAGGCCTCATGTTTAAACCGCTCCCAAAGGCTAGGACAGATCTGTTTAATTTGCATGCTTACTTTGGGGTTTTTAAAGCAGAGAGACAAGATTATAGTATAGTTGAACATCGTTCACAATAGATGCTATTGGCACATCATGAATGCATTCCGAAATAGGACCCTGAATTGATCCCTTGAGGACACCGATATCACATCTTTATGTCATTGATCATTACACACTGATGTATAGGAAGAAAATATGATTAAGCCTGCATGAAGTGTAGAAATACAGCTTCTATGTTTAAGTTGTTCTCTGTGTTACAGTTCTCTGGCCTCTATTTGTTGTCATTCTTCATTATCATCTTGGGCCTGGTCCTTTACGGCACCTTGTCCACCTACGTGGGTCAGGACCCGCGCGTCTACAAGCAGTTCAGGAACACTGGCTGCCAGCTGTCCGCCGACCAGCCTCCACTCAGCGCCGGAGTCCTGGAGCCCTCCGTCACCTACACCAGCCTGGGTCCCGAGGCAGGCGACGACATTCCCGTACACGTAGCCTAAGATCTCGGAGGGAATTCAGCCTATCAGGCTGGTGAATTGGCAGGCACGATGTAGCCTACAGTTTCTGCCCTAAAGTTGTATAGAGGAGAAATGTGCCGGCTGTACCTGGTGTCTTGAGCAGGGCGGCTGGATGATCATCCAGGTAGGTCCTGCTTATTATTTGATGACCGTTATTGGGGAACAAAGTCTCCACCCGCTCAGAGACTAACACTGAATGTTGTAAAAACAAATATCCAAGTGAGTGAAACTCACTTTGGTCAAAGACTGTGAGCAGACACTCATTCATGTATATAGATAGTAGATTAAATACGGTAAAAATAAGATACCATCTTCTTTACATCTGTAAAGAATGTTTGTGCTTCACATATGTATGTTTAAGCTGTATCAATTTCATTTCTTATGTTCTGTAAATATACTGTGTTAGTGGTGGTTAATCCATTGCTTGTATCACTCAAAGCTACGCTGGTATGTAAATATCCTCCATCACGTACTGAATGTTTGTAGGCTCATATTTAAGTTTGACTACTTTCACACTTGAAAAAGTGAACTTGACTTGAGAAAATGAATCATTCAACTGATGAAAAATGTAAATATTTAAAGTTCGGAGAGTAGTATGGTCAGGTGGAGGAGGTGGGTGCTTGCGTATTATTGTTTTGCGTTCAGTTATCTGGATATACACTGAGGCGTTTATGCCCTATTTGGAAATTTAACAATCAAATTTGTGGATGGAAATGCACCCACCGGCTCTAAAAGGAATATTACCAGTAATATTTCCATAGACTGTATTACATGGCTCACAGATGGAGCCCCCTTCCTGCTTAAATCCAACTTATCGAACCACTTGGCAACTCTATTAAACTCAACCTTCCTGGTAAACCCTAGTTTTCCAAATTCCATTTGTATTGCAGACTTTTTGGTCTCCTAATCTTGGACAACCCTGATGATCACAATGATGATATTTATTTTCTCAGCCTGGACAAAGCTCCTCCTGAGCCAAGACATAAAACAAGAAAGAAGCTGAATCTAACCAATGTCAACAAATTACCATTAGCAAACAGCTGTGTTACTGGTTTTGGCTTTGATGAGATGCAGTCAGTGATCAGGAAGTAACAGAATGGAGGTGTGATATGCTCACATATTCAACCATAATCCTCAGGAAACTGCTGTTTGCTAGGTAAAATACAAATAAAAAACAGATGTTTACTGTTATGTTTTCATTGTTTTTGCCATTTCACTGTGGTACGGACAATACGAAATCACTGCTGTAAACTGAACTGTGTTTTCCACATTTTCAGATGTATTATGAGTAAGGCCTCGGCACTCTTAGTGTTGGTTTGTATGAGACAGATTGGTGAGATGCCCTACAGCTCAAATCCAACCTACTGGTTCTTCTTACTGCTCAGCAGTGGCGGCTGGTCCACAGAGGGCAATGGGGCATGGCCCCACCATGAGCGACAAAAGAAAATTTGCTTTAATTCATTTTCGTTGTTTATTATATTATATTTTACAAACAGTCAATATTTGTGTTTTTGTGCTTTTGAAACGTGGATTATATACTAGGTATTATTTGTAAATTAAGATATCTGTGCGAAATCTATGCTTTTCCTGCACGTCCTCTCCGCTTGTCTCAGCTGGGTTCCAAAGCGGTGGGTCTAAGAAGCAGTTACCAGTCACTGATAAAGTTAATGAGTGACATTATAATTTCAGTGTCCTAAAATGCATTGAGTTTGGGGGAAGTCTCCGATGCGTCTTTTAACAACATAACGAGCGACCATCGGCAGCGTCCTTCAAGAAGACTCGACCCGAACTCTGTAGAGAGAAAAACTTTTCCAGACAAAGTAAACAGCTGGACCAGATCAGACAATGGACCTGCGTGAAAGGGAAGCACCCTTATATACACATACATACACACATTATTTATGTATATATATGCACACCATGAGAAAGGTGAGAGTTTAATGAAAAGGAAAGTCTACTCCAGATCTAGTAGTATTATTTGACCTCTATTTCATAACTCTGTTTGAAAAAGCAATATATGTTGTTGTCGATGTACAGGAGAGACGTAACAGGGTTATTGAACTGACTGAAAAAGCTGTTCACTTGGTTTGGTTTACTCATTTACTCATTTATTCACTTTCCAGATAGCTTTCTTGATGCTCCTGTTTCAATGGCCTTTTGTATCCTGTTGGATGTAATGCATCTGGGTTACTGTCTACGATATGCTTACATCGATAAATAAAGCTTCTTTGTCAGAACACCCAGCCCCACACGCTTTGTGAGCAGTGTCCAATTTTAATAGTTTTTTTTTAACACCTGAGCTTTCCGATCCCAAAAGGAAGAACCATCTAAATGTCAGAATATTGAGTTAGAAGATGTTGCCGAAAAAACTTGCTTTACATCCAAGTGTTGAAAATCTGATAACCTCTGGAAATACTGATGGCAGACAGTGAAAGAAAGTGTCATGGGCAACCAAAGGTAAACTGCATATTTCTTATTGTCCACAATCTAGTTATCTTTTATTGTAGGACCCCTGATGCGACGCCCTGCATGTCAAACAGAATAATGGTCCAGAGTCTTTTGTTGCTATTTTACTAGATTTTAAATACTATAAAAAGCCAATAGACTACTTTCGTTTGTTTAAATTGTTTTACTGATTGCTACGAATACGTCCGGTTGACATGTGTGCGATGGAAAGGAGCGTGTTGCCCTGTGGGGGGCGGTAAAGTTGCTGGACCTTCCACCAGAAGAAGAAGAAGTCCGGTGAAGCGCATCATCCATCTTCTGGGAGAGAACGAAAGCACCAGCCATCTGACGACCGACTAGAAGAGAAGAAAAACATCCGCCATCATGGGAGCCGTTTTGGGATTGTGCTCCATGGCGAGCTGGGTAAGTTCCACACCTCGCTGTGTGTTGTTTGTATGGACTCCGTTGTCAGTGAAAGCAGTGGATGTGTTACGCTGCTGGCTGAGGACAAGCGGCGTCGTGACTGCGCAATAACGGCGGCGGCCGTAAATAAACACGACGAGGCTAGTTAGCATTCGCTAGCTAATCTTCTGTCAGGCTAATACAGAGTTAATACAGATTAGTTAACGTCACTCATCTATAGCAAATTGTAAATTGGCTTATTCGAGGAAATTGCACTTTCTTGTTCCTTGTTCTCCTGAGTTTGTACCCTATGGTTGAATGAAGCATATTGTACGTCGCTTTGGATAAAAGCGTCCGCTAAATGACATGTAATGTAAAGTTAATGACGTCGACGGCTTGTTGGGTGTTGTGGTTGTTGTATAAGCTAACTGGCTGAGTTACATGCCTTGTGTTGTGCAACCAGCTGACCTAAATACACAAAGGCCGTTGGGCTGCCGTCGCTCCGTCACGGATCTGTACTCACGCTCTATTTGGTCACATCTGTTAGTTTTTCTGACGATGGTGAACATTGTGATCAAAACACGTCGATGATATCAACTGAGCAGGCGGTGCTGTGACGTCATCGCCAGCTGTTGCGTCACTGAGGCTGTAAACAGCGCTCGGGTATCGGCTGGTTGCGACGTGTGGAGGCGGACCGGAGGCAGAGAACCGATCAGATGAGCGACCCGGTAACTCAATCGCCATGTCGGTGTGTGTGCAGATCCCTTGTTTGTGCGGCAGCGCCCCCTGCCTGCTGTGCCGATGCTGCCCCGGTGGGAACAACTCCACGGTGACTCGTCTCATCTACGCCTTCTTCCTGCTGCTGGGAGTGGGCGTCGCCTGCATTATGTTGATGCCCGGCATGGAGGGTCAGCTCAAGAAGGTATGGAACTTAATAGGATAAACGGTGGGTTATTCATTATTACAGTGCCAATCACCAGTGCTGGAAGCTGCAAAACGTGGTGGTCAGGGGTTCCTTTTATTGTGATGTTTGAGTGTAAAGACACAAGAATAATTGGATATTGTGAAATGTGTCACACATATAAAGGATCCACTTGTATCTTATTGGGACACTAACATGAATGCAAACACGGTCAGAGCTCCATTCCAATGGTTAAGTATCTTATATAGGACAGTTATATTACAAAGGAGATGATTCACTTGTACTGGCTGGCAATTAGCTTTGTCATTTTCAAATAAAACTAACAATCACAGATTATTCCGTATTCAGACGTCCTTGACTAAAGAAATGCTTTGCTAAGAATCACACGACGGGTCCATTTTCAAATCCTTAAAATAAGCCTTTCAACAAGAAAAAGTATAAATGAGTAAAGATATCGTAGCCTTCCAGGACCAAAAAAACAAGCGTAAGAGCGAGTTCAACCGGGCGGTCATTATTTACTGGTGTTGTCCTCTACTTTGTCTCATTGAGAAGAGAGCAAACATTGGAGATTTGATTTTTCATTAAATCGCAAAAAAACAAGTATTCAATTTTTAAAAATGATAGCGATAACACATAGTAGTTGAATTATTTACCAGTTACTGTATATCAAAAGTAACTTTGATATACAGCCAATATGAACAGTACTGAACAGTCAAACACAATAAACATATTTTTTAGACTTATTTATTGTAATCAACAGGCCTTCAAATCAAGCAGTAGTACAAAAGTCCCTTTTAATTCTTAACTTAAAACAAAATAACTGTCTCAGTATAATACTTACATATAGTATATGTAATTTGCCTGAAGGCAACTGACTTGACAGTTGACAGAGGATGCATGTCATCGACAGCAATCAATTTATTTAGCCTTTATCTTCTGCCTGGCTTATCGGCTGCACTGCAGTCCGTGTCTAGCCGTGGTTGTTTGCATGGAGCGGCGCCTTCAGCATCCGTAGCGCTGCGGCCCTTTGCTACTAGCTTTGTTGAAGGGTGTTGTTTCAACAGGTGCTTCATAATTATATTATCTATAATATGGGTAGATGAAATCCAGCGTTCTGATTGGTTGGGGGTGAGTCACGGTTTGTACATTATTGAGCAATAATGTAGAGTTGCTGTTCACATTGACCCGAGCGTTCCATATCACTACACAACCCGGAAACACCACAAATGATCAGTTTCGGGCAATGGGAGCTTTCGCAACCAGACAATTTAGGTGGACGTCATGAGCAATGTGATTGACGTCCCGGATGATGCGGGACCCAATGCTGTTTACATGTACGTACAGGGACTACTTTTTCTCTAGACTACTCAAATGCTATACGCAACATTTGGTCGCTACAACTATTTTCTGTTGAAAGGCAGCTATTTACTTACTTGCCAGCCCTCCGCTGCTCGTTGGGCCTAACAACCCCCCTGAACTGTTACATTATTGGACGATAAAGTACAGCCTCTCGTACCTTATTGCTTAGTTATTTAATTTATTGATCGATTCGATTGGTGTATCCACCAAGGTCCTGTGACGTCAGATCAGAAGCAGCTAGTAGGCCTGTCTTGTCTTCTTGTCTGCAAGTGTTCATTTTTCACAAAAGAGAGTAATGAACTCATTTGAATTTCAGTAATTGTAACTGTGTGGAAGTTGCATTTGAACATAAAAGGCAATTCCTCAAGTTGAGAACACAAGCGTGTGTCTCGTTTATTTTTCCACAACAACGAATTTCATTTTACTTTATTGTATTACTTGTGCACTGCTGTCTTGTTGTCTATTGTCACACTGTCTACTGTCACGCACCGACCGCCAAGACAAATTCCTTGTATGTTTGACATATTTTGGCAATAAATGTTTCCTGATTCCTGAATGAATAAACAAGATGGCGCAGCCCTGTATTCTCCCTACGTCATCAGCAACAACAGAACATTTAAAGGGACCGCGATCCCGGAACAGTCGTAATTACGTGTATAACACATTACCTAAAATGTAGGTAATGACCTAGGTAGGTAAAAACGGTCATCCATTAAACCTGTACGGCTAACTAAAAAGCCTCTTATTCATTTATTTATAAATGCCATTTTAAATTCCTCTCATAGCATTTACTTAACTTGCACTACAATGATGGTAATAATTTAATGAATAAGCTTCAAGTGAACATGGATGAGTGTGGGTTAGCGTTTGAGTGTAGTATAGAGAACAAGTTCTGACGTTAAAACACATCCTGTTAAACTTTCTGATTTGTATTATGTTCAAGGAGCAACCTGTACTTTCTGAAGTATTTTTGCAATGTGAATTTGCAGTTCTGTTTTAGAATAAAGGGTTGGAAATTAAAGATGCTATTCTTTTATCCGATTCATTGATTAATCAAAGAAATAATCGACCGATTAATTGATTATCAAAATAATCGTTAGTTGCAGCCCTAGACAACCACCATCCACAGAACCCTGTGGGGAGGGAAAGCACGCTGTAAGACTTTAGGAAAGGGTAATGTTGATTTATGATGACAGTAATAGTATATGATTAATATTTAAAATAATAATGAGGATGATGGCAGGAACAAAATGTATGCTTTTGTCTCAGCTGGTCTCGAGCACGGTCCCAAAGAGGCGGGTCTAAGGTTCCTAGGTGCATCTCAATATATACATATACATGTCCTAATGATTTAGGAAGCATATAGAGAGTATATAAAACTGGTCCAAGTACAGAACCTTGGGGGACTCCGTGACCAACATTGGTGGTCTTCGAGGATTCACCGTTTACAAGCACAAACTGGGATCGATCCGATTAGTAGGATTTAAACCAGCTGAGTGCAGTTCCTTTAATACCAATCAAATGTTCTAGTCTCTGCAGCAGGATACAATGGTCTATGGTGTCAAATGCGGCACTGAGGTCCAGCAAGACAAGAATCCCCAAACAAAGCACTGGCGTCGCATTGTCACATAATTGATTTGAAGATATGTTTTTATCCTACATTTTAACGCCTTATGGGATTTCTAGGGCAGGTTTATGACATTTTCTGTGTGTAATATTGATATATATTTTTCAACAGTAACATATAGACTGATTGTCACACATTATAGAACTCAGGGGTTTCCCTTTATCCCCACAAAAAGTTATTACACTTTTTATCAAGAGTGCCATTTTCGGAGCCCATAGTAGGAGCCCACATGAGTCCATAAAAGAGGCAAACAAGATTTCTACATACATATAATGTGGCCTTGGTCAGCATATTGGACCAGGCTCTGTTGAAAGCGGTAGTTTGTAAAGTCTGTAAAGCTGCACATTTAAATCAAATCAATTCAGCGGTTCATGAATTCGAGCTACAGCTCTGTTCTGTATTACATGCACATAATAATGAAAATAGTATTAGAATACCGATTGGAAAGTTGATTAGCAACAGTCAAAGCTTTGAGGCATCTGGG